TCCAAAAACTGATAGTAACTTCACAAACTAAATATTTTTTGAATCATTCAAATCGGTAAATCCATGCGCCCGAAAACGTCGACAAAAGATTGTCTCCACACATACACACAGATCTATATTTTCTAAGGTATGCCAAAATGTTCAGAAACCTCTGAAACGTAAAGATATGCAAAAATTTTCATTTTCGGGAAAACAAATCTTTTTGCTTTCTCCAAAAACTGATAGTAACTTCACAAACTAAATATTTTTTGAATCATTCAAATCGGTAAATCCATGCGCCCGAAAACGTCGACGAAAAATTGTCTCCACATATACACACACACACATCCATTTTTTCTGAGGTGCACCAAAATGTTCAGAAACCTCTGAAACGTAAAGATATGCAAAAATTTTCATTTTCGAGAAAAAATATTTTTTTTGCTTTCGCATACACACACACACATTCATTTTCCTGAGGTATGCCAAATGTTCAGAAACCTCTGAAACGTGAAGATATGCAAAAATTTTCATTTTCATTTTTTGGCCCATTGCTATAACTTACCCTACGGGAAGTTAATAAAATCTGAACCATCCTACAAAACCTGGAATCTGCTGACTAACTTAATTCAGCATAAAACACTTAAAACTTATCTTGTGATATTTCTATCACATCGATGTCCTTCAACTTCGGTATTAATTCCATTTTTTCAAACTATTATTACCTCTGTCAGTCTCCTTCGATTCGACTTTGTCTGTAGCACTACTAGAGCTGCTCTCTTTGCCGGTTTTAAAATCGTAAACATCTTCGACACTAGTTGAAGCCTTCGAGTCCATCTCCTCGGATGACTTCTTCAGATCAGTTTTCTTCTCATCTCTCAAGCGGCCTGTTTGGGGAACACATTGGTTTGCACTCGAATCTGCTAATAGGTACTTTGTGTTTCACAACAAAAACAAAAGAAAAAGCAAGCAAATGGTAATAAATGACTCAAACAAAAAAAATTGGGAGAAATCATATTGACAAAATTCAGTAACGAGCTGCATCATGGTAATTAAATCCTTTGGACAAATTTGTGAACCCAAAACCTGCATGTAGTAGGAAAGCACATCAAATTTAAAATTCATGCTTGAATTAAGCTGAGAAAAGCAACTATGCTTAAAAGAGAAAATAAATGTTAATAAAAACAATCAATAACTACAATTGTTAACTGTTTAAGCTTCATTCAAATCAATCAATTTCTTTACAATTTTTTCCTACGGTATGCCAAAATATTCAGAACGATTTGAAACACAATTATTAATATATGTAATCTAATGCTTTATATATATTCATATATACAAAAATGGAGCTCCATATTATGTTAGGTATGCTAAAATTTAAAATCGGCTGAACCGATTTGGCCAGTTGTCATGACAACGCTCTCTTATGCTTGTTTTTGGTATTGAAAAGTATGAAAATGTTTATCTATTTGACGTGCGATCAGCCGTATTTTACATATAAAAAAGCAAGAAATAATGTTACGATAACAGAATTCTAGATGATGCAGTTATCATAAGATTCTTCCTTGCTTGTTTATATGTAAAATACGCCTGATCGCACGGCAAATAGATCGACATTTTCATCATTTTCAATTCCAAGAACAAGCATAACAGAGCATTGCCATGACAACGCTATTTTATGAGCTC